ATTATCTGTCTGAATCTCAGGAAAACACAGCACGCTCCGCAAGGCGTTCATAATCCGAAGTCCGAAGAGAAAAATTACAGAGCAACTACTCAGCTGTCGCTGGAGAGCAAGGAATTAATGGCAACGAGTAGCTCAACCACTTGAGAATGAGAGGGAACGGCAGGTGATGGCGAGAGTAAATGACTATTGATCGATCAAGTAAGGTATTACTCTAATGGCAGAAAAAGGTGCATTTATTGGGAAAACCATGACCTCTCCACTAACATCAACTGTACATCTTTATTTCAATTGCATTAATGGCGGCTTCCCAAGTCAAACTTGCTTATTTATTTATTAATTACTTTTCCCTTTTTCCATTTTTGCCTTAAGAGTACTCCGTTTGCAGAAATCTGACGATTTATTTATTTTTCTTCTCTGATTTTGAACTGAAAGCCCGCTCTGCCCGGTTTAGCATAATGGGGTTTCAAGACATAATCGCCGGACTGTTGTTCTGGACTCTAATTTTACAGTGCTTTGCCTGTAATTACGGGAAGAAATGTAATGGCTTGTGCGGGGCTGGTTCGAATTTAGAACTCTCATACCCATTTGGATTCTCTGAAGGGTGTGGAATAAAGTTGAATTGTGACAACGGGGTTGTCAAAATTGGAGAATTTCAGGTGAAGAATCTGACCGTTGACAGTATACTGGTAAAAGTTCCGGCGAGCTGCAGCCGTGGGATCGAAGATATTCTACCTCTTGATGGCAAGAACTTTAAAATTTCACCCCGTAACGTTCTTCTTCTAGAAAATTGTAGCCACCCATTGCCAGATTGCAAGGTGTTTAAAAGCTTTATTGGATCACCAAGATGTAGATTCAGTAATGAGAGTATGAGTTGCTACTCGGAGGACAGCAAAGACATGAGCTTTTTGAACATCGACCGGCTGAAGCAGTCAAAGTGTGGCAGTGTGCATTCATCTATCACATTGGATGACAGCGTTGATAACGGTGCAATTCCGAGCTCTGCTATGTCTCTGCACCTTCAGACTGTGGAGCTTGTGTGGTGGTTGGATGGGAACTGTAAGTGTCATCCCAACGGGAAATGTTCGCCCGTTAAACTTCCAAAGGGAGGAAGCGGTTTCCGGTGCTCGTGTAAGGATGGATTCGTTGGAGATGGCTTCGCGGATGGTGATGGTTGCAAGAAAGGTGAGATCTTTTTTTCACATTTTAAAAATGAATCATTTCAACACTCTTTAGCTATTATTAGTCCATCCATCCTCTTTTGTTTGTTCAACTTTTTCTTTAGGCTTTCTTAAAATGTTTGTCACCCATTATGGTAATCTTTTAGGCCTAATAGTGTTTTTTACTTAAGTTTGATTGTAATCACACAATGTAATATTGATCAAACTAAGTAAGCAGTTAGTGGGACGAGGCAGTGTAATATCCTCACTTTTGTAATTTAATAATAACATTAATAATTATAGTAGATCCTCTATGCTTGTATATGAATAGTTGAATTTGACTATTCAAAATATTCATGTGATCCCTATGAATTAGGTGGCTTAAGTATCCCGTGGAAAACATAGGATCGCCATTTATTAGCTGGACATGTATGTAAAATCTACGACTGCAAGTTTGCTACAAATCTACAATATACTATCTAATAAATACTTCTAATACTAATAATAATAATAATAATAACAGCAGCAACAGCAATAATATTTAGTAAGAATAATATGAAAAGTGAAAACTAAACAGTGCAAAAACTAGAATGGCCAATTAAGTCTTCTGGATTTGATTCCGTGAAAGTTGCTTTCATATTCAGAGCTGTTCAGTGTTGAATGATTCCTAGTCGTAACCTTATGTCTTACGGAGTACAATTTTTTTTGTTTTCTATATTTGAATTGGTCAAAGTTGGACAGTAGTTTGGTTGATTGAAAACTGTGGCCAAACATTGCAGCATGCTGAGGAAATTTCTGCATTAGATTTAAGATTTGGAATCTGTGGTGGATTTTAATATGACTAACCAGAATTTACTAAAATGTCTAAACTTGCATTGAAATTATTCAGTTGACTAATACTACCTCCATCCCACTAAGATTGAGACGAGAGAAGGTGGCACAATTATTAAGAAAAGTGGGTTTGTGTGGTTGCCATTAAATTGATAAAGTAAGAATAAAGTAAGAATGGTTTAGAGCCACACAATCTTTACCAAATATGGTATAACACAATCTTTGTGGGACTTCCCGAAAAGGTAAAATGGGACAATCTTAGCGGGACGGAGGGAGTATAAATTATGACTAAAATATGAGTAAGATAAAAATGATGCGTAGTAGAAATAATTGTGACTTACTACACAGTCAATATATTTATTGATCAAATCAGCTGGAAGTGTATGAAAATGGCCTCGTGCTCATTCCATCAACTTCAACCTAAAAATATATTCCGACTTTCTTTTTTCTCATTAGTAACTAATGAAGTGTGCACAATAAAAAAAGATAAGCGGTCATGTTTGGTCAAGATCTATCCGATAAAACTGATAAGCCAAAAATATGGCTACCAAACAGCCATTTAAATTTAAATTAAATTAAGACCAGACATGTGGAGGATTTGGAGTGGGCTAAGTTTTTTTTTTTTTACCTTATTAAGGATGTGTCTCCTGAATGAATGATTGATGGTAAGGGTGAGCCACACTTGATCTTTCCCTGTAAGAAACCTTAAAAATTTTGGTATTCTTGATCCTTGACTAGAAGTTAAAACCTCCTAAACCTGGTTGCATATTGATCCTCATACAAATGTGTGAAAGGTAAGGTGATTCTTCTATCTTTTTAATTTTGTTTTCTTGGCTAATTAACTCATTCCGCTTTTCCTCTCCATATGTTTCCATTTTCCATACAGCTTCTAGTTGCAATGCCTCCAAGTACATGTCTGGTAAATGTGGTGGAACAAGAGTTAGCATCCTCATCGTAGGTAATAACCATTTCTATAACATTTGCTTCAATGATTGCTGCTAAACATTCAAGACACAAAACCTGTATGCTGCAGGAGTGGTTCTAGGAGTATGTTTGACGTCTCTGCTGCTACTCGCTTGCAATTGCACCCGGAAACGATCCGCATCTCTGAAGAAACGAGTCAGTGCAAAGCGGCTATCAGAAGCCGCAGGCTGCTCCAGCGTCCGTTTATACCCCTACAAAGAGCTTGAACGGGCAACCAATGGTTTCTCAGACGAGATGCGTCTAGGAACAGGTGCGTATGGCACAGTTTATGCAGGAAAGCTCTACAATCATGAACTGGTTGCGATTAAGCGCTTAAAGCCTCAAGATGCGGACGGAGTGGAGAATGTAATGAACGAGATCAAACTTCTATCCTCAGTGAGCCACCCCAACCTTGTCCGCCTCCTAGGTTGTTGCCTCGAGAATGATGAACAAATCCTTGTGTATGAGTATATGCCAAATGGAACTCTATCTCACCACCTCCATGGAAAACAACGTTCGGGACTTCCGTGGCTGATCCGCCTGAACATTGCGACCGAAACTGCTCACGCAATTGCTCACCTCCACTCATCCATGAATCCGCCGATATACCATAGGGACATAAAGTCCACTAACATTCTGTTGGATTTCAGCTACAAATGCAAGATAGCTGACTTTGGGCTCTCGAGATTCGCTATGACGGACGATTCCCACATCTCCACGGCCCCACAAGGGACCCCGGGATACTTGGACCCGCAGTACCATCAGAATTACCATCTTTCTGACAAGAGCGATGTCTACAGTTTTGGGGTAGTTCTGTTGGAGATTATAACGGCTAAAAAGGTGGTAGACTTCGCTCGGCCCAATAGTGAGATCAACCTGGCTGCACTGGCGATAGATCGGATAGGGAAAGGGCGAGTGGACGAGATAATTGACCCATGTCTGGAGCCAAACAGGGATGCATGGACACTTTCCTCCATTCACAGGGTTGCTGAGCTGGCGTTTCGGTGCCTGGCTTTCCACAAGGACATGAGGCCGTCGATGACAGAAGTGGCAGATGAGTTGGATCAAATGCGGGTCGGTAGTTGGGAACCGGTGGAGGGTAACACATGCATGACGACGTCGTCATCTTGCACCTCCCGTCATAACTGGAGCGAGAGATCATTCTGCAGTTCTTTGAATAATAAGAAAGTAATAAAGGAGAGCTCTCCGGTGTCGGTCCGAGACCCATGGGCAAGCGATGAGAACTCGCCATCCGCAGATAAGTTGTTGGGTAGTGGGGCTGGACAGCAATGATCCCAACTGCTAGTTTAGACAGACTGAATCCTTCTTTATTTATTCATTATTATAGCTTGGCTTGTATCTACGACCAAAACTAGTGATAGCTAGTATTGATCATTATAACTTGAACGCCAAACAAGTGTAATTAACTTGTGTAGTTCTGCTTAGTTTGGGCGTGTCACGTGTGTATATGCGAGTACAGTTTTGTTATGATGATGGTGTCCTTTAGGTCTTAATCAACTACTACGTATAAGTGTACAAATTCACCTAACAAAGTGCATCAGGGACTTTACACATCGAGTTGACCAAATGAGGTGGATATACAAATGAATACAACTAATACAAAAAAAATCATACACATATTTTTTTTTTGTACATATTATCTTACACATGTTTGCGAACAATTATTTTTTGTCTGTGAGTGGGCTATTTGTTTATTTGTGAGGTCCAAGAGCACGACCTATATTTCAGATAGGCTTGGACCCGGTTCGGGCCACCCGGCCCGGGAACCGGCCTGGTACTGTTTGGGCCAATCCCGGCCCGGGAACCGGGTACCGGTACCAGGTCTAGGCTCGGTTTGAAGGGGAAACCGGGGGCGGGTACGGGCTGAAGGAATTGAGAACCGTCCCGGCCGGTTCCGGGCCCGGTTCGGACCTTTTCAATTTTATTTTTGTTTGGGCCTTTGGGCTGGGTTCAAATGGGCTGGAATGGGTTTTGAGATGGGTTTGTGGGGTGGGGGTGTAGGGGATAAAATAATCAAGCAAAACACACTGAAAAAGTAGATGATCCCAAAATTGTGGGATGGGTTCATCTACTTTTTTTGTTTAATCCCTCTATCTCGTTCCCATTCCTGATTCCTCTCCACCCTTTTTAGACTTTTAATTAAAAAGACCATACTCATTTTAAACTGCTTTCGGATGAACATAATAAATAGTACAAAAAAGTAACAATTGGATCCGATTGATCGGTCTACTCCTATCGCAACATCAAGACTTTGTTCACCCCAACATGCTACGTAGTATTATACGAACTAGTGTTCCACAGGCAAGTTTCTAATATACATGTTTACACAGATAAGCAGGAAAACATTGAAAAAAATCCTATTATAGTTAGGCTTGGACCCGGTTCGGGCCGCCCGGCCCGGGACCGGCCCGTCACTGTACGGGCCCGGAACCGGCCCGGATCCGGCCCGGTTCTCGGGTCCGGGTCCGGTTCGGGCACAGAACCGGTTGGGTTAGCGGGTCCGGGCTCGGGTCCTGTTTTTGGAGGCCCGGCCCGGCCGGGTCGGGCCCGGGCCTAACGGTCAGTTTTTTTTTTAAAAAAAATTCATTTTAATTTGAAAAAAACCTTTTGGCTCAACAGCCACTTCCCAAACGGCTATATAGCCGTTGGGGGGGGGGGGGGTACCAGGGGGGGGGTCCGGGGTGTTTGGGGGTGGGGTGGGGTGGGGGGTGGGGGGGTGGGGGTGGGGGGTTAAAAAAAACCTATAAATACTCCTAATTTTAAACATTTTTTCACACCTCTTCTCCAACTCTCCATAAATCCTACTCTCATCTCCAATTCTCCATATTCATCTTCTCAAATTCTCCTCCTTTATATTTTATTTTACTATTTAATATTTATACAATTATTATATCTATTTATATATTAATTATCTACTTATAAATACATATACTATATTACTTATATTTCTTATCTACTTAATCTCTACTTATATTTCTTAATACATACATACATACATACTACATCTACTTAATATATACTTTATATAATAAAGTATTAAATATACTTTATAAACTATTACTATATACTTAATACATAATAATATCTACTTCTCTACTTAATAATATCTATTTTATATATACTTATTTTATAATATCTACTTTTATATATACTTTATAATATCTATTTTATATATACTTATTTTCTTATTTTCCAATCTCCAATTCTCCATTATACTCTAATATTTAATTCTTATACAATTATTATATCCACTTAATACATACATTCTACATCTACTTAATATATACTTTATATATTAAAGTATAAAATATAAGTGTATTACTCATCTTATAGTAGTATACTTATATATTATATACTATAAACATTATATTATATATTACTTACTATAACTAGTATTGTACTAGTTAATTAGTTAATTAGCATTCTTGTTACATTTATCATTATAATAGTTAATTAGTTCATTACCATTATTGTTACATTTTTCATTATACTAGTTAATTAGTTTATTAGCATTGTTGTTACATTTGTCATTATACTAGTTAATTAGTTAATTAGCATTGTTGTTACATTTTTCATTATACTAGTTATTTACTTCATTAGTATTCTCATTAATTGTTAAAACAACTCTACTTCAATAAACTAGTTAATTGTCATTAATTCATTATAGTTAAAGTCACATTTTCATATTTTCAATTTATATTTGTAGGAAGAAATAGTAGTTCAATCATTTAATTAAAGTACTTAACATTTTATTTAAGTAGTTTTTACTAAATTAAAGTACTTCAAAAGTTGGTATAATTTTAATTTTAAAGTCACACATTAATTCTACTTTGCACTAAATTAGTTTGAAGTATTAATTAAAATAGTTTTAATTAGTTGCATTAGTTTTGTATCCATTATTATATTGGTTGTCAATTAATATTTGTTACATTTTTAACATGGAAGGTGGTAGATATTCGGTTGATTTGGGTAACCTCCAACGCAATCGAAGGAACGAGATTGGGAGGAAGAAATCCCGCAAAGGTAAAGAACTTGCCGGTTCTTCATCTCAAAGCCGAGATGATTTTGAAACGGGTTACCAAAGGCGAGATGGAGATGCGATGTCCGAAGAACAACTCCAACAAGAATTGGCCCGACATAATAACCGCTTTCTACAACAACAACAAATGCCGACGACCATTGACGAAGAGGAGCTTGAGAATGAAGATGCGGAGGAATTGGAACCGGAGACGGCCGAGGAGGAGGGTGCCGGCAGCCACGACGCCGACGCGCCTGCCTCATCCCAAACCGCCACCGGTAATAAAAAAAGTAAGTCTGAACTAATGAAAAATAATTTTGATAAATGGAAGGACCCACAAACCGGCTATTGGCACGCAACTTGCAAGTGGTGCAACAACAATTATAGTTTGGGAACCTCCGGCGGATACGGATCCGCCGCAAGGCATCTTAAGGCAAAGCACCCCGTGGAGTATGCAAAATTAGGCGGCGGAACGGGGAAGCAAACTCAAATATCGAGGTTTGCGAATTCTCAACCTTTTGGTAATTTCTCCTACAATGATGCACAAAATTTGACTGGTATGGCTAACTTAATTTGTGAAGAAAATTTGCCTTATTTGTTTTCTGAAAGTCTTGCTTTAAGAGATTATGCACAAGGTAGTTTAAATCCTCAATTTAGAAATTATAGTCGCAAAACTGTTAAGAAAGAAATAATAAGGCTTTATAATGCGGAAAAGGAAAGGTTACAAATTTTTTTTGCAAACTTTGATGGGCGTGTTACTATTTGTTCTGACAAATGGAGGATGATTTTCATCATTTATATTATTTGGGTTTGACTGCACATTATATTGATGAGGATTGGAATATGCATAAACGTGTTCTTGCTTTTCGTGAATTTAATGATCGTCACACCGCTGAACATATTTATATTTTGATTGAGCGTATTTTAATTGAGTATAATTTGATTGATAAGGTGTTTGCTATTGGTTTTGATAATGCTACTAATAATACTGCTGCTATACCTAGATTGCGTGAGTTGTGTGGTGCCAATTCTTTGATGGGTAGATTTTTTCATCAACGCTGTGCATGTCATGTTATAAATTTATGTGTGCAAGACGGTTTAAAAGCGTTAGGAGATTCCATGGAGGTAATAAAGGGGGGGATTAGACGTATTTGGGGTAATGGTCAATTTAGATTAAAATGGCAAAGTTATTTGACTGAAAGAGGTGTGAGATATGTTGCTTTTCCTAAAGATTTGAGTATTTGTTGGAATAAAACTTATAAATTACTTAAAGTTGTTCTTAGATATAAAGAACATTTTCCTGCTTTTTTAAAAGAACATGATAACTATATTATAAACGCGGCTGAGATCGACACTTGCGAAAAAATTTGTAATGTTTTGATATATTTTTTTAATGCTACTGAAACTTTTAGTCATGTTTATAAACCTACCGCAAACCAATTTATTCCACAAGCTGTTAATCTCGCCGATGCTTTTAAAGAATTTCAGAATGCCATTTTCGTTCATTATTTTTGTGATCATATGAAGGAAAAGTTTTTAAAATATTATGCGCATATTCCCCATATTTATGGTATTGCATTTATTCTCGATCCTCGTTATAGACTTGCTAATTTGGAAGATTGTTTCAACTTCTATTATCTTGCGTTTTTCGGTGAATTTCCAATGTATGACGATAACCCCATAGATCCGAAAACGGAATACAACGAGGTTAGTACTTTATTTTATGCCTTATTTAATGAGTTTCGTGCACAATATAGCAACGCTCCCCCTCCCCCGTCACGAACATCTTCATCTAAAGGAAAATCGATTTTTAAATCTGCATTTGGCAATCTTATGAAAAAAACTAAAACAACTCACGTCACTGAACAAAGCGCATTGAATGAGATTACTTTGTATTTAACATATGAAGTTGATTTTGAAGAAAATGATGACTTTGACGTTCTAGACTGGTGGAAGTCAAAAGAAAGAACGTTCCCGATTTTAGCACGGATGGCTAAGCAAGTACTATCAATGCCGGTTTCAACAGTTGCTGTGGAACAAGAATTTAGTTCGGCCGGCAACGTCCTAACGGCATCTAGATCGAGATTGAGCGCGGAGTCTCTTGAGACGCTTATATGCTACCACGATTGGTTGAAGGCCGCACGTAGAACTCAAGAATTGAGCATCACCCCCTCCCAAGATTTTATAGATGACTCAACAACCGATGGTGGCTCTACCTATGCCGGAGATTCCGATTGATTAGTATTTTAGAATTTATTATAAAATGTATTTTAATTTTATAGCACTCGTCAAATTTATTTATACTTGTACTTCATATTTCAAAATTGTAAACTTGTACTTCATATTTCAAAATTGTAAATTTGTAGTTGTACTTCAAATTAATTTGTAAACTTGTACTTCATATTTCAAATAAATATATGTTCACTTTTTCATATGTAGCACTTCTCAAATTAATTAATTGGTTACAATCTAACGACTTAAAATTATTTTTCTAAAATATAAAGCCGGTTTTTAAATTAAAAATACATTTACAATATGTAATTTGTTTAAATACTTATACACCTATTTTGTAACATTTGTAAATTATAAATCAAACCACTTTTCTAAGTACAAATAGTTTTAGTTTTACTTAATTCATTAAATTAATTAATTTATTTTACAATATGTGTATAACTTTAAAAAAAAATTAATTCAAACCTCCCAAACGGCTATATAGCCGTTGGGGCTATGGGTGGGGGGCAGGGGGGTCCCGGTGGTGGTGGTGTGGGGAGTGGGGTTCAAAAACATCTATAAATACATCTATTTTCTAACATTTTTCTACACCTCTTCTCCAATTCTTCTCAAACTCTTCTCCATCTTCATCTTCTCTTATTATCCTACATTCCTACTTATACATATACCATTTTAAATATGGAAAGTACATCTTCCCTTATGCAAAACAATTTTGACAAGTGGAAGGACCCGAAGACCGGACTGTGGTGGGCAACTTGCAGGTGGTGCAAGAAAGAGTGTTGCTTGGGGCGTTCATACGGATACGGGATGCCAATAAAACATATGAAGTCCTGTGACGACAAAGGGAAAACAACAACCAACGGTGGCGGAAATCCCAATTGATATTCATTACAAAATGTATTTCGTATTGTTATTTTTTTCTCAATTCTCAAATGTAGTTCTTATTTCAAATAAATGCACTTGAACTTTGTTTTTAATAGCAATTTGTATAATATATAATTAATTAAAAAAAATGTACTGGCCCGGCCCGGCCCGGCGGGTGGCCCGACCCGTGACCCGGGCGGGTGGCCCGGCCCGAACCGGAACCGGTCATTGACCGGGCCGGTCCCGGGCCTACCATTATAAGACCCGAGGCCCGACCGGGCCTTGACCCGACCCGGCCCGGGTCCAACACTAATTATAGTGGTGGATCTAGCACAAAAGTTTTGAATATTCAATATAATTTTAACATCATTTTTAATACTGTAATATTTTATCATCAATATAATATTACGTACTCCGTAATATTTAGCTGGACTCCCGTGGTAATCACTAGAGTCTGACGATGGTCGATTTTGATATACTCATTCTGTATACTCATTTTGTTCCATAATATTTGGTCATGCATATGAACACTTTTTTATCAATGATAATCGAATTTGATCAATGATATTTCTTCATACGGAGTATAAAATTACTTTAAATATGTAAATTATATAAAATGTATTTCATTAGAAATATTTTTATAAATGTTATACATTTCACGTGAATATAATAATTACTCCGTAAAACATAATTATTGTCTAAAGTTATTTATCATTATTTAAAAAAATCAATTTGAACAAATTTAGTGGAAGAAGACGGTACGCGGATTATTCGCCCCCCTCCGGAACCGCCACCTCGGAGGAGCTTCAAGACTATGATCGGGAAGAAGATGACTGCAGTACGGATTGCACTGCTCCACCAATTCAATTTTATTTTACATTTTACTATCGTTCTTTCCCTGTTTATTTTTATTTGTGGATCCTTTCTGGGTTGGTTGGGTTATGTTTTTTAGGTTGGTAGGTATTGTTTTCGAAGAAGCATGATGGCTTCAGAAGCCGAGATGATCTTCAAATTTCTCACATGTTTAGCAACTCGATCTGCTCTCATTAGGGTGGTCGTTCTATGTCAAATCAGAGAGTGAGGGGACCTTCGGGTTATGATGAGTTTGGTAGTAGGAGGCTGATCCGTATGGATAAGTTTGTATTGTCGTTGATTGTTTGGACTTTAATATAACCACTCAATTTCCCTTAAAAAAAAAACAGGCGTCCTAACGAAATAAGATTACATGATAATCCCGAAACATAAAGCACATTATTCAACTTGATTTTATGATCAAGTTTTATTTCTCCCGAATACTCCGTATTGATTATATCACCATTAGGCAGTGTTACCCTTATACTCGGTATGATCCTTTTTGACAAAAAATTAGTTTCACATCCAGGCCACTCATGTGATAAGAAGCTCCGGAGTCCAATATCCAACTAGTTGTGTAATTAATACCTGAGAGCTTTTCATGTGTGGTTTTGTTATTACTGTCATTCAAAAAATTCAAGAGGGCGGGCCATTGTTCAGTTGTGATTCCATGCACAATCACATTATTTGCTTGTACTCCACCGCCGCCAGCATTATTTGACTCACCGCCATCAGTCAGCATCGGATAGATTTCTGCTCCTCTCACGTTTGTCTCCATGTCTGCTTTAGCAGGATTCACCCTTGTCGTCTGTTACCTGAGAGTTCAATCTCAGTTTGTAGCAAATTCAGAGAGATCAAAAGGTATTATTAACCTGCTCTGATGCCTTGAAGAAAACCGACGTACAAATTATGTGAGGCGGTCAAACATTGAGTAAGAAAAAAATGGGGATTTTCATTCTGCCTTTGCTCCATTGTCTTACATTCGTACTAGACAAATTACATCGTGCGATGCACGGGGTATATCTAGAATTGGATAATAACTTATTTAAAATAATGTTTTGCCATGGTACATTATGTGTTAGTTTTGTCAAATAAAAAAAATAGAGTTTATATGTCTTAACTTTTATTATATACTTCGTACTTAGTAGTAGTTGTACGAAATTTTGAATCGTATGAAAAAATGAAAAGAAAATTAAAATAAATGATAATGTGTAACCTTGAGTTCTACATGAATAATCAATAAGCTCTATGTCTTTTCAAAGAGGTTTGATATAAAAAGGTACATTTCAATTCCAATGTTTTACATGAAAGCATTTTATAACTCCTTGCAACTCATTCACATTTCATATTTTCATTGGCATGTCATTGCAGATGGAAGTTAATGACTCAATGCTGAAAGAAATGAAGTGAAACTAATCGAAGAACTTGGCTATGAAAAGATGTGCATTTGAATTTATATAGGGAATACAAAGAGTTTGGAAACCCAAAATATATTATGAACCGCAAGTTATTCTTTAAAAAAGTAACAACTATATACATTCCACTTGATATAAGACTAAGTTCACTTTGGATGTAGGGCTGGATTCGGTTCAGGTACCGAACCGATTATGGTCAACCCGAAACCGAACTGATATTTTGGTTAATTATCCAAAGAACCATAACCGAAACCGAACCGTTCAGAATCGGGATCCAAATTATCAGACTAAGTTATTCTTTAAAAAAGTAACAACTATATACATTCCACTTGATTATAAGACTAAGTTCACTTTAGATGTAGGGCTAGATTCGGTTCAGGTACCGAACCGATTATGGTCAACCCGAAACCGAACCGATATTTTGTTTATCCAAAGAACCATAACCGAAACCGAACCGTTCAGAATCGGGATCCAAATTATCAGAAACCGATATTTCGGGACGGTTTACCAAAACCCAAAAAATTAACCGACTTCCGATATAAATAAACAAAATATTGAACTTTTCAATACACTAGGCCCAAGTTTTAAAGAACCCAAGCCCAATGTAACGTTGCCTAACAATCTCATGGATTGTCAGGACTTACTCGGTTGGTTACTAGAGAAAGCATCCA